AGGACGGAGGTCAGATAGAAGACTGAAGGGAGGGACGTGGGTCATGTATAAGACTGAATGTGAGGACGGAGGTCAGATAGAAGACTGAATGGAAGGACGGAGGTCAGATAGAAGACTGAAGGGAAGGACGGAGGTCAGATAGAAGACTGAAGGGAAGGACGGGGGTCAGACAGAAGACTGAAGGGAAGGACGGAGGTCAGATAGAAGACTGAAGGGAAGGGCGACGTTCACCTTTAAGGGATGTACTCTTTAAATGCCAGTTGTTCCCCCAGGAAGCTGATTCCGCTGCCTGACATACAGATGTCCACTAGAGGGCGCTCTCAGCAATCTATAAATACATTGAGGAAAGTTCTCCGTAGGAAACGTATAGAACAAAATCTTTTAATTATATTTCCAATGGAAACGCAGAATATTTGCTCTCGCGGCTCCTTTGTCGTCCTCCTGCAGCAGTCACGTGACCGGCCCACGCGATAATATCCCGCGTCTCTGGCTCCCCATTGATCGCCGCCGCCGATAAGTGAAATTCGCTGGCGATAAGGGGGTTTCTAATCTGCAGTTAATTAATTAAGGCTAATTGGCAGCTGGAAAATCAGCAGAGATAATGGGAAGGAGGAGCGGCGCCGGATTCGGAGGGAACGGGCTGCGCTCGCTGAGGTCATAAAGAAGATGATAGAAAAAAAAATGGAGAAGATAAATTTCGGGGTTTTCGGTGACATTTTTCCCGCGCCGAGCAAATGTTCTTCAATGATCTGTAATCAGCGACGGATCTGGAAGTGGATTCCGAGCCGCTTGCCGCGATGATTGGAAAACGCTGGATGCGGAACTATTCAAAGCGGCGGGCCGCAATAGAGGAGTCGACATGTGTAGTGTTTTTTTGTTGTTGTTGTATTCTCTCCCTGTCATAGCAGAACTATCAGCCCAATGACTGGCCGTAAGCGCCCCATAGAAAATGACTTGTCTCCTGTCTTAGGAATGGATGTGTGTGTTGGTTTTTGGTTGTATTCTCTCCCTGTCATAGCAGAACTATCAGCCCAATGACTGGCTGTAAGGGTCCCATAATAAATTACCTGTCTCCTGTATTAGGAATAGATGTGTGTGTTGGTTTTTTTGTTGTATTCTCCCCCCGTCATAGCAGCACTATCAGCCCAATGACTGACTGTAAGCTTCCCATAGTAAATGACCTGTCTCCTGTCTTAGGAATAGATGCGTGTGTTGGTTTTTGGTTGTATTCTCTCCCTGTCATAGCAGAACTATCAGCACAATGACTGACTGTAAAGGTCCCATAGAAGATAAACTGTCTCCTGTCTTAGGAATTCATGTGTGTGTTGATTTTTCGTTATATTCTCTCCCTGTCAGAGCCCAATCATTAGCCTGTCATCAACCCAATAACTGGCTGTAAAGGTCCCATTGAAAATGACCTGTCTCCTGTCTTAGGAATGGATGTGTGTGTTGGTTTTTGGTTGTATTCTCTCCCTGTCAGAGCAGAACTATCAGCCCAATGGTCAGCAGTAAGGTTCCCATAGAGGACGGCCTGTCGCTTGTCTGAGCTCAGATACATTACATCCAGTATGGGCCACAAACGTGTTGCTGGTTGGGTTGAAAAGTCACAGTAGGCATCGGCTTAGAGCAGCAAGATTTAGAATTGCATTTTTCCATTTTATTTTAGGTGTCGGGATCTGTGCGGCCACAAATATGCGAGACATGAGGAGCTCGAGTGTGCGGGGGGGACGCGCTGGATGTCCCAGGATATTAGGACGATAATGATGTGTCAGTCTAAGAAATGCTGAATGAACTGACTCCCACCGCAGCTGAGAGACAGGGAGGAGAGAGCGCTGGGGGAAGAGAATCCTGAGATAGTGGAAGAGGGACAGAGAGGAAGAAAGAGGAGAGAGAGAAAGAGAGGGAGAGAGAGAAGGAAAAAGAGAGAGGAGTGAGAGGAGAACAGAAAGGAGAGGGGGACAGAGGCAGAGAGAGAGAAGGAAAAAGAGAGAGTAGAAGAGTGAGAAAGAGGGGAAGAGAGAAGAAGAGAGAGAGAGAGGGGGGAAGAGAGAAGAAGAGAGAGGGAATAAAGGAGAGAGAGAGAGAGAAGAAGAGAGAGAGAGAGAGAGAGAGAGAGAGAAGAAGAGAGAGAGAGAGAAG